CCCCCCCCCCGGATTTCGATTTCAATAGATCTTTTTGGGCCCACCAGCCCTCCCCCCTCCAAACCTAAGCCTTGCCTGATCACTATAGATTTTGCTACGGTATTCGGTACCCCCCAAAAAAAAAACAGTACAGGGTCCGATGGACTGGTGGTTTAAAAAGCTTTAACCCCCCCCCACTACCTCGCGTCCTCTTTTTGCCTGAGATAGATTCCCCCTGTGTGCCAAGCTTTTGCTGCAACACCACGGCGGTGTTATTTGTTTTTTTCGGAGTTTTTCCCCTATTGGCTGGTGCTGCCAGCCAATTTTTTTTTGGGTCCGGTAGCGCTATTCATCCCAAGTCTTTGGAATGTGGCATTTTCGATTCTCGATGTTGCCTGGAGGAAAGGTAGCGCTGGTTCAAACTTGTAGGCGGACTTCTAGGAGATATACTGACCGGACTCAAGTGTTCAATTATTTTCCTTTTTTTTTTTTAATTGTAATTTGGACCATTTCTCGATTTATGCGTGTCATCCTTGTGCAGGGGCCATTTGCTAATTAGTAATTACTAATTACCCTTCTCTGTATCGTTCCAATTTTAACGGATGTCCCAAAGGATGATTCTTTTCCTGCTTAGTAATTAGTAATATACTAATACTAATAATTGATGTAATTACCTCCAGTTTTTCATTTTTAGTGATATATCTTACATAATTAATGATAATAATAACTCCAGTGAAACTTGACAAGTTCCATGATTAGCCTACAGTACCGTTCGGTACCATCTTCGCCCGAATCGAACACACGGTCGTTATAGCTGTATTCGACACAAATTTTAGTCCAGATACAGCGATCTTGACCCTGCTTTGTATTTGGGTGAAGATGGTTATCCAGTAATTTCGAGTGACATCTGGATGCAACTCTCCATTTTTCTTTGTTTCTTAGACATCCACGCAACTCCAGTTCTTCATTTTGAACTGTCCTGTTGCTTTATTGGCTGAATGGTACACACACCCATCAACTGTTGATAAACAACAGACCTGAGGTCGAATCCTGATGGACGGAATCAGTTAAGTAAAATAACTCTGAATTACCTGGGAGGCGAGTTAGTTCAATGATGATATCTCAAGACTGTCGATTTTTCTTAGGGAACCCTCCCCCCCGTACTAGCGTGCAGT